TACAGGGTTAGCACACTGTGCGACTCTGCAGCCCATACTTTTGGCCACTCAGAGATACTAATTGATATGTCCAAATGCTGTTTATAAGATTTAGAGCTTTCCTTAGTGAGATTTTAAAAGGGTATTCTTTTATGTTTATTTCTAACTGAAAATGTTTCATATGTTTACTGACTTTTTATAAACTTTAAAGTTAGGAACATTTCTCCTAGAAAATTTAGAAAGCTACTCAAAGGCATGAAGCATTATTAAGATAATATATTGAGTTCAAGTTCTCTCTAACCACTTCTCAGCTTGCTACATCATGATGGATACCAACCACTAACCATGAAATGAATGCAATTTTTCCATTTACATTAAATGTTACGTTGAAGATATTATGCAGTATTTTTCATACTTTCTGGAATTGCATACAAATAATGTTTTATAGTAGCAGATGTGTGACATCACATGAAAAACTTGTAAAACCTTTACATGAAAATCACATCTGCCAGTCTCCACTATCATTTTAACTACAGTTATATGGTTTGCTTCTCTGTCTCTGCCAGAGAAGGCAGTTTTGCATGAAAGTTGTCCCAGCAAATCGTGTCTTCTGGACCAGCAGCTAGTTAAGCAAATTGTGTAGCTGTCATTAAAACCAAAATGTACCCAGCAGACATAATTTCACAAAAGAGGAGAGAGAACCACATTTGTACAAAAGTCACAGCTGTTCAACTCTCCATTTTGCACATTGTTATTAAAAATTTTCCTATCTTTATGAACAGTGACAGTTACATTCCTAGCTAGCAATTTTAGGACTTCTTAATACATAGTGCTAAGTGCTGCACCATCACGGATTTGGTGTCTGTCAGGAAAAATTGGGCTAAGTTCTTTCTGCTGCTACATAGTCAGTTTGCACAGACAGCACATAAAATTTAAAAAGATGTTGAGTAGGGCCCATTGTTCTCTAAAATAGCTGTGTGTTGCCTCTACTAATCCAAATGAGGGCCAACATTTTTATGTTAAGGTCCAAACAATAAAGATTCCCTTTCTTTCACGTCTTGCTTTCGGTGGCCATGTTGTCCAGGGCTACTCCGAAGTGGTGGGTAATGGAGCTTGTGGCTCAGAATGCCTGGGTCAGCAGCCTGTCTCCTGAGGCTCTGGATGCAGCATGACCTTGCATTGTCGGGCATCCTGCTGTAGAACAGTACTACAGGGAGGCCAGGGAGGAGACGTTCTTGAGGAATCCCTCATTCTTCTCCAGGGATGGGTCCCAAAGGCTTGTTCAGACCATTATGGGTTATAAATGCTAAATTTATAGCAGGTATTTTGGTTAAGAGTTTGGAGTCTGGGCTCCGCAGTCAAACTACCTGGGTCCAAATTTCAGCCCCTCATCTCAATAATGTGTGGTTCTAGGTAAGTTACTTAACTTCTTTAGCCAGGGTTTCCTCATCTGTAAACTTAAGACAATTTAGCTCATTATCACTATAGAGAGAATTACAAATGTGATAGAAACTGTTAAGCACTGAGACCAGTTAATGGCACATACTAAGCACTCAATAAAGGTTAACAATTTCCATAACACGATGATGATTTTTCTAGTTCTTGAATATATTAAACCTACAATCTTAGAATTGAATTTGTAGGGGACAGAACAGTGGCATAGTGGGGTAAAGTCAGTTATAGTGGTCAAAGCCTGCTCAGTCCAGGTTTCTCCTTTTCTAGCTGTGTAAATTATCTTCTGCTATTGATTGCTGGAATTCCTATTTGCTTGTCTGTGGCTGAGAGGAAAATGTGTGTTTATGCAACTGTGCTAGAGACATTACATTGATTTCAATCAGTGCCCAACCTGCAACTTCTATTCCCAGTTGTTGGTCTATCCAAAGAGAGGTGCTAACTGCTAAACTGGACCTCTTGTGCCCATACATGTAAGCTTTTTTGCTACTGGGTTGGAAGGTGGAATCTTTTTCATATCTTGTAAAGAGTACCTCCAATTGTATGAATGGGTGTGTAATTAAACATAAAAATGATAGCTGTACAGATAATCCATTGCTCATTATCATTAATAGTATCAGTAAATCAACATTTTCTTGACTATATATTAACAAAAAAGATACTGCTTTGTTATATGAACTAAATATTAATATTACCAATTAAAATATAATTCCTTAAGATATTAATGCTATCACTATAATGAATGGAATCTTAATCTAGACAGTTGAAATGAAAATGTTGAGATAGCAACTTTAGACATTTACCAATCTTTTATGGTAAGAAATTAGGTGACTTTCTTCTTCCAACAAAAACACTCTACATACTGAAAGTGATGAATAACCTCTATGTTTACTTATATATTCTTATAGTTACCATAAACAAGGCTACTATTCAGAACCAATATATACCTTGTGTAAATAATAGCGTAATAGAGATGAGATACAGAATTAAAACAAACCATGTAAATAAGTGTATTCCAATTAAAATATTTCAAAATTTTTTTGGGGATGATGGAAGATATTCCCCATTTCAAGTAATGTATACATCATATACAATAACAGGTATCTTAATTATGTTTATGAAGTTTTTCAAAAGGATGTTTCCAATAGATATTGGGATAATATTCTACTTAACATTGTCTTTAAGTTTGAATTATCTGTTTATTTGTCTCAGTTTTCTGCGTGGCCTGCTACACCCACACACCTAATTACTGACACTGGTCAACTCTATAAAATCATACAATGGGGACAAGACCATGACAAATAATAGAACTGAGTGTAACGGGAAGGAAATTAAACTATTTTGACCCACTGTGACCTGTATATACAACCTCCCAATCACTTAAAATCTAAAACTATTAAAACATGTCAGCCTGATCTAATTATAGAAGACATAACTGACTAAATTCTATATAATTCTCTGACTATGGCTGTGTTACATGGAAAATGAAGTGGAGAAATGTAGAGAGAAGTATAACGTAGGCAAACACACACACACAAAACATCTGAAGTATAAAGATAACAAGAAAAATTTTCATTTAGGGTTACAGCCAGTGTCCAATTTCATAATTAATTACAAAGGATCTACCAGCAGCATATCTTCACTTGCAGAACACACATCTCAATGATCAAGAAGGGATGAAGCATAGCTTTCTGACATAGGGTTGTCTTGCCTCTCTGTTAGATGATTAGGACAGAGAAGAAAGGTTTTAGTTAAACCTTTTCCTGCATTGGAAGTTAGCTTGACAGGAGCTGAAGATATGAAAAAACAATCTGAAGAATTAAAATAGGGTAGGAGCCAGCAAACTATGACCTGCAGGCAATATATGACCAACTGCCTGTTTTTGTAAATAAAGTTTTGGTGGAACATAGCTGATGTTGCCGGTGGTTGCTTTCAAGCTACAACAGCAGAGCTAAGTAGCTGTAACAGAGGACGTATCATCCTCCACCCCAAATATTTGCTATCTGGGTTTTTATGGATTTTGCCAACATATAGACTAAGGAATGGTTCTTTTTCAATGATTCTGTGAGGAAATATACTAAAGATAAGATCTGATATGCCTCACACTCAATTCTCTTTCCTTACATGGAATTTCCTTGAATATCTGATGTAATAGGCTTAGACACAGCACAGTTTGATTCAGTGAATTAAGACAAGCTAGCATTTATGTAAACATTTATTGTTATATTTATTTATGGACTATAACTATGTTATTTAAAACACATGGGTACTTTAATTCATCAGCAATCTAGTGGGACACAGAGGCCTTATAACTATTTATAAATGATGTCCTTTTATTTTTGCAGTTAGAGATACCTCTATGTACTTAATCTTACTTTTTTGTATCTGTTCAGTGTCCGTGTGACACCATACATTAGATACTATGCTAGAAGACTGCATATGGAAAATGAACTGAATTCACCTTTACTGTGAATATGGAAATGACTGTGGAGCCAAAACTGGGGCTTTTCCAAAGGAAAATGATGGGTGAAAGTAGTTAAGACAAGTGCTCCTGAGGGAGATCCTTAAGGGCAGAGAGCACACACATTTCACTTATCTGTACACCTCCAGTGCCAAGAAGGGCTTGACACCTAATAAAAGCTCAGTAATGGTTTTTGAATATTGTTACAAAAACAATTTAGCACTAAAGCCAACTTGTAACCCTTGACCATCTGTAATTATTAAACAGAATGTGGTTGGAAAAAACAAAGTAAGATCTTGAGGAACAATGTGAAAGTCTTGTTTTTCAACGTTTGGATTTCTTGGGTAGTGTTTCCCATAAGGAATATATAGGCTTTGTTATTCACCCAAATAACTTTAGGAATATTAAACAATAGACAAGAATGAAAAACAATCGTCTATTGGGAGAGAGAGTTCTAGAAACATAAATCACATATTTAACTTTTAAAAATTATGAATATTACTTAATTTTCCAAGAAACATATGTGTATGTAATTAAACCTGAACAATTTCTTTGTTCTGAATAAAAGGATGCATGGGGGGATCATTCATACTACAACAAATTATTGCAATGTAACCTCCAATAGGTAACATAAAAATCCAATGTACTGAAAGAATACTGTTGATTTGGAATGAGGTCCTAGAAAAGAAAAAAAATCTAAATTTTATTTTATTTTTCAACTAAAAAATATGGCTGATTCATTTAATTGACTTCAAAATCTGTTTTAATAGAACATCTCGTTTGCACAACCAGTCAGCTCCCAACATTTTGATTGCAAAATGAAAGGCATTTACTTTGATATCTTTAATTATCACTCATTTAGAGGACAGTGTGAAACACACTTTTTCAATTGGTGTTTTAGAATCGTTGAGTCAAAGGAAAGGAATGACAAATTAGCCAGCTGGAGAGGAAAGAAGCAGCTAGCTAGTACTGCTAGTCTTGCTGGATACTTCAAAATGAGATGAAAGGGAAATGAAGGGGCTGTTAGCTACACATGCTCAATAAATAAAATACTAACATAATTTCACAACATATTAATAACAAGTTAATATCACACTTAGAGACTTACTCAACATAATAAGTGCCATAAATGGGATCATCGATTTTTTCCCAGCCATATGGAAGCTCTGAAAAATAAAGAGTTATTTCTTTCAGTAAATAAAGAACAGGTAACACAATTTCTAATAAAAAGTAATATAATTTAATTGTTCATGGATTGCAGAAATGGTCTACCAAAGTGGAACAAAGCATTCAGAGTCAGCAACAAATTTCAGAACATATTATAGAAACTATAAGCAGCACTGACTTGAAAATTGGCAGTTAAAACCCAGAGCTCTCTTCTCTGCAGATACACTGCTGGGTCTAGCCATTCGTCTCATGCCAAATAGTAGGATGGCATGTCATCATGTTATCACCATTTAGTGCAATATAGAAGGCAAATCGCTTTCCTGTAAGTGCATATGGTTCTCTTATTTATTTGTATTGCTAAAGGAGCATTTCAGGACAAAGACCACATCTTTCAAAATATATTTCTGAGGATGGCAAATTGTTTCTGATGACTGAAACAAAGACATTATAAATTCTCAATTGATACCCCACTATTTGAGATGGTAGGCTTGCTGTTACTCCACGTGGGTCAGAATTTGAATGCTGCCAATACACTCTTTGGGCTTATTTTAAAAATAAGGTCTAAAATTGTGAACATGGTTTCCTTGATAATATAGTTCATGTTTTCAATTCTCCATGGCTAATTCACACATTAAAAAATATCAACAATACTATAAATCCTATTATAGGCAAAAACATGCTGTATGAAAACTAGGCTTTGCTTCCTAATATTGTTTTCCAAATATACCAAGGTTTTATAATTATTAACTCCTACAAATATGAAGAAAACTGTATTTTTCTTGATAGATATTTTTATATAAATATAATTTGAAACCTAAGATACATTGATAAGTTTAAATGTATTTCAGTGAAGTTTAAGGGTTTTATTATTATAGGAATAATACATATCACTGTAGACAAAGCACAGTTATTAAAAGAAAACTGAAGTTACCTGCAATCCTGCCACCCAGAAATAACCACCATTAATATTTTGGTGAATATCTTTCAAATAATTTTCTATGCATATATGTGCAAATACTTTTAAAAGAAATTATATCATAAAGTGCATATTACTTTTACTGCCTGACATTCCTACTTAACAGAATATCAACGATGTCATTCAATGTGAATGTGTGTTACTGCACAATATCATTTTTAAGGTGGCAACAGTAGTAGTCTGCTGCATGGCTAGAAGCTGTGTAATTCTATCATTTTTCTATTATTGAACATTTGGGGCTTTCCAGTTTTTATCTGTCACGTGTCATGTGTATTGGACCTGCTAAAATGTAAATCTTTTATCATGTTTCTATAATATAGTATTGACAAATTCCTAGATGTGAAATTTTGGATCAAAGGGCATGCATCCTTTTATTGTTTTTGACATATATGACCAGATTTCCACCTTCCTAACTCAGGAAAAAGTACTAATTTATAATCTCACTGAGAGTGTATGAGTGATTTTGTTTCTCTGTACCATCAAATTAAACACAGATCCACAATTCCGCACCCAAAACTTTTAGAAACATATACATTTTAGAGTTTAGAAGTTTTGCAATTTTAGAAAGTTAACACAGAGCAAATGCTTTCTCTTTCATAACACTCTAAGTAGAGTTGGGAAAAGCAGTTTATAATCGAACATATGAGTATTTCTGCAGCCAAAGATATGATTCATACGAAGAAGGATAACTTAAACTTACAACATCAAATTTGAGAGTACCTTAAGAAATCTTTCTTTCAGAAGGATAATAAGAGTAAACCTTTACTGAGTATTGTTTGTGGTTTGACTACTAATGGATTTTCTAGGTACTAACTCATTTTATCATGCCAGCAACTCAGGACTTGAAAACCCTGTACTCTGGTTCCAGCAAGCTTACCCAATTTAAATATCAATTCAGAAACTCTGTTTAACAAGGCATAAACACCACTTAATTTAGATTAAGGAGAATAACTATCCAGATGGTTTTCACCAAATCCCCCAAGCTACTGGCAAATTCATCTAGTAAGAAGGAATTCATTTGACAAGTATCTATTGAGCGCCTTTTATAAACAGTTCATCCAAAACCTTTTTTTTTTTTTTTATAAGCAGCTTATCCAAAGGTAAAAGACTATACAGAGGACAACAATTAATGTTATGGATATTTGTTATTTATTAATATGGTTCAATACATGGATATGTATTTATAATAGGTTTAACATCATCTTACGAATGCAATAATATATAAAACAATCATGTTCAATAAACATAAAGAGTAAAAGCCTAACGTAGTTAACTTATGAATACAGTCCTACTTCTTAATGCCAATGCCATATGGAAGCATTTCATGGTAAAGTTTGTACAATTATCTTTTTATAAAGTAAATGACTCTTTCATTTTAATCTGAGTAAATTACTAGTTCTAAGCAATGTATCCCAGAAGGGCAGAGTTCATTGATTCTTTATCTTTGTCAGATTTACAATGCCAAATTTCCTGGGTACGATTTATTATTTATTATACTTTCCCACTTGTCATCACGCAGTCCTCATCAGAATTTAGGGAGAATCTGCTTTATTTTTCATAAGCTATCAATATGTTTTGTCTATTCACTTGGTTGTTTCATATTTCCAAAGTAAACTATTATTTCATGCTGAAACAAAATTATATGTTATAAACATTTGTATTTTAAGAACTGTTAGAGGTCCTAGACTCACACTTTGAGGCAAAATTATACACTAGTTCTAACTTTCTGTTACAAAGAGCATCATTTGTTTCATTTTAAATATTTTCAAGGAATTGTTGGCCGAATCTTACAAGAAACCAGTAACAGATACAAGCATTGCTTCATTTATATCAGAATGGACGTAAAAATATACAACTAATGTTAAAAAAGGTACTTGTATGTATGTGCATATATGAATGTGTAGCTGTGTGTATGTGTTGGCACATGTGTGTTTGTGTGTATTCTTTTAACGACATTTTGCTTCAAAAACAAAGATTTAAGCTAGCATGCTAATGAAAAACCACAATTTTCACAAGTTTTTCTTCACTTGTAAAAAGACAAGTCATAAAATAAACTTCTTAACGGTATACACTGAAGAGTACACATCTAGATGAAAAATTAAAAAGTTAAGAATTATCTTTCACTGTGAAAATTAAGTTATTTGGACTTGGATTAGTTTTAACAAAAACAAAACAACTGTTGCTTCTTTAAATTAAACTAAAAGATGAGAAAAAGAATTTCCAACATTGTACTATTTGCCCAATCAGGCAAGCATGTAGCTTGGAGCTTTTGGGTCCTAGGTTATTTAGAATACTGTATTCAACAATACCTGACAAATCTGTGGATGATTAAGGTCACACTGATGAAAGAATAACATACACTATGCAACAGGAAAAAATAAACACTTGAGATCAGCAAGGTTAATGCTGCATTAAGAACTGTTTTAATTGAGATTTTCTTCAGGCCATGGAACCATGGAGCAAATTCAGTGATTAAATATTCCTACCCTGAAAAAGTCTAGATTAATTTGTAGTCAATCATAACAACTTCTAAAACTGGAAAAAACCAAATGATTAAACATGCACCTAGCTTTGCCTGGATTCTGGCATAGTCAGCCTGCTATATTTTTAAAATTTAATTGTGCTTCCCAATTGACAGACCGCTAGCAAGACTAATAAAGATGAAAAGAGAGAAGAATTAAATAGACGCAATAAAAAATGATAAAGGGGATATCACCACCGACCCCACAGAAATACAAACTACCATCAGAGAATACTATAAACACCTCTACGCAAATAAACTAGAAAATCTAGAAGAAATGGATAATTTCCTGGACACTTACACTCTTCCAAGACTAAACCAGGAAGAAGTTGAATCCCTGAATAGACCAATAGCAGGCTCTGAAATTGAGGCAATAATTAATAGCCTACCAACCAAAAAAAGTCCAGGACCAGACGGATTCACAGCTGAATTCTACCAGAGGTACAAGGAGGAGCTGGTACCATTCCTTCTGAAACTATTCCAATCAATAGAAAAAGAGGGAATCTTCCTTAACTCATTTTATGAGGGCATCATCATCCTGATAGCAAAGCCTGGCAGAGACACAACAAAAAAAGAGAATTTTAGACCAATATCCCTGATGAACATCGATGCAAAAATTCTCAATAAAATACTGGCAAACCGGATTCAGCAGCACATCAAAAAGCTTATCCACTATTTCATTTATTTACTTAATTTTTAGTCAGGTACACTTTCATTACAGAAAACAGAGACCCCTTTATGCTAGCTCAGTAAGAAAATATCCACATTCTGATACTGTGCACTGAGAAGGGCACAGCTTTACCTCTGTAGTATACTTGTCAAAAATAAATAACCTTATGTGTGTGTATTTTTAAACAGTCGGGGTTCCACTGTGTTGCCCAAGCTGAACTCAAACTACTGGGCTCAAGCAATCCTCTCCCCTCAGCCTTCTGAGTAGTTGGAACCACAGTGCGCACCACTGTGCCTGGCCAGGAATGCCATTTTAATCATGAGAAACATATGATATACTCAAGTGGAGGGACATTCAATAAAGTAACTGACAACTACTCTTAGAGAGGGCCGAGGTCATGAAAGAGAAAAACAGACTGGGATATTATCACAGAGTGAAGGAGAATATGGAGATGTGATAACTAAATTTGTTGTGGGATAATGAATTGGATCTTGAACCAGAAGAAGGGCATTAGTGGAGCAACTGGAAAAATTCACATAAGATTTGAAGATTAGTTAATAGTTTATATGGATATTAATTTCCTGGGCTCAATGACTGTACTTATGAAAGATGTAAATGTTAGTGGCAGCTAAGTGGGAGTTATGTGGAGCCACTTTGTACTATTTTTGTAATTTTTTAGAGGTTTAAAATAACTTCAAAATGAAAACATGGAAAAATCTAGGTCACTTACTGTTACTATTGATTAGAGGACTTCTACTCACACTTCATTTTAAAAACCTTTACAGCTTTTAGTTCAGTTTCAGTGGGGTACATGTGCAGGTGTCTTATCTGG